TTTTTTTCCAGACATCATTTTTCCTGGAAACCCCAATAACACTCATGGAAGCAGTAATCAAGAAATCAAAGGACATACTGTATTAAGCAAATCTACAGTAAAAGATATCTTTAAAGACTTCAGTTTGAGGACTAAGGTTCACCTGACCCAAGTGACTCACTCACAGTATTTTCAATTGCCTCATATGCATGTGAAAGCTAGATAACAACGAATATGGAAGATCAGAGAAGAATTATGGTGTTGGGGGAAAAAGTATGAAAATATAGCTGTTAAGGGGGAAAAAGTATGAAAATATAGCTGTTAAGTGCTGTCAAGTTGGTTTCAGCTCATAGTGACCAACTATGTATAGGATTTCCAAGGTGGATTTGAATCGCTGACCTTGAGGTTCAAACACACCTTGCAGTCCAGTGCATTATCCTGCAGTGCCACACCAGGATTCCATTGAAAGTACTGCTGTTGCTGTTGTTGTTGAGTGTTGTTGAGTCGATTCCAACCCATAGCAACTCTGTATGGGAATGGGGTTTCCAAGGAACAGCTGGTGAGCTTGCAGTTCAAACAGCTTTGCAGTATGGCACATTAACCCACAGTGCCACACAATAGATATAGATATATACTAAAGTTTCAGAAACTTCTGTGAGTTGCCTTACCCAGGACTATACTGATCAGCTCTCAAGAGCCCTGGGAAAAGCACACAGCCTGCTCACAAGGGTGGATTTCATATGTATATGAAATGCAGTTTTTTTTGTTTTCTATATTTTGTGTGTGTGTTTGTTGTTGTTATGTGCCGTGGAGTCAGTTCCAACTCATAGTGACCCTATACAGGGTTTCTGAGGCTGTAAATCTTCACGGAAGCAGAAAGCCTCATCTTTCTTCTGTGGAACAGCTGGTAGTTTCAAACTGCTGTCCTTGTTGTTCACAGCCCGATTCATAACCACTAAGCTGTTTAGTTGCTGTTAAGTGCTGTCAAGTCAGTTCCAACCATGCATAGGGTTTCCAAGGAGCAGCTGGTAAGTCTGAATTGCCAACCTTGTGGCAGGCAGTCCAGTGCTGGCCCTACAGTGCCATACCAGGAATCCAATGAAAGTACTAGGGAAGGCCAAAAGAACAAACCATTTGGTCTTGGAAAAAGTGCAGCCAGAACGCTTCTTCTTGTAGTTAAGAGTTGTCAAGTCAGTTCCGACTCATAGCAACCCATATAGGGTTTCCAAGGAGACGCTGATGAGCTTGAACTGCCAACCTTGAAGTTCAAACCGATCTTGAAGTCCAGCACATTACCCCACAGCGCTACACGAGGACTCCAGAGTGCTTCTTAGAAGTCAGGCTAGAGAGACTTCATCCTATGTACCTTAGACATGTTGTAAGGAGAAAACAGTCCCTGAAAAAGGACATCCTGCTTAGTAAAGTAGAAGAATGTCGACAAAGAGGAGGACCCTGCCCCCCCCCCCAACAAGATGGACTGACACAGTGGCTGCAACAATGGGCTCAAGCACAACAACTGTAAGGACAGAGCAGGACTGAGCAGTGTTCCTTCTGTGCAGGGTCTCTATGAGTCAGAACAGACTTGAAGGCACCTAACAACAACAATGCTGCAAAGATATTCATGAACACAGGGAGCAAAGTTAGGAAAACTTCTTAAACACCTTGAGGAATGAGTAGCTGGGTCTTGGGTTTTAGGATCATAGTCTGAGTGAGGGAACACATATCAAGGTCATCTGGCATAACATAGTCCACAAGGGCAATATTCCACATTACTTTGGTGAGCAGTGACAGGCCTCTTGAGATTTTAAGACCCTAGTCACTACTCACCAACCATATGCGATCAAAACGGCAGCATTTACCCAAAGACAAAGGTTCAGAAGGGTTAAGAAAGAAGGGATGGAATTGAGAAACACATGAAGGAAGTGGGGCAAATGATGTTACATAGCACGGATTGCAATCAACAAGATTAAATAAATTATGCATAAATTGTTGAGTGGAAAACTGATTTGCTCTGTAAACCTCCATCCAATTCACAATAGTTTTGTGTTTTTAATCCATCTTCAACCAATTCAGTTCCGTTATTGTTGTCAATATTAGAAATGACAATTATAAAAACAAAATGAAACAATAGCTATTCTATCAGGAGTCCTGGTGTGCTGCTGTGGAATAAAGCACTGGACCATAAGGTCGCTTTGAACCACAAGGTCAGTGGTTCAAACTCACCAACAGCTTCTTGGAAATCCCATACAGGTGGCTATGAGTCGGAACAGACTCAACAGCACTAACAACAACAATAATATTCTATTTTACTTTTCTTATTAAAAGCAAACTCACAAGAATTATAAAATTCACCTACAAGATGATATTGGCAGTACCTCAGATTAAAGAGGGAGACAGGATATAAGATTGCTTTTTTGTTGTTGTTGTTTTACAGGAAAAGATAGGAAGCCTTAAGTAATATCTTACTAAGGAGAATAAGAACTAAGCAAAGATTCTGGTGTGGCGCTATAGTACTGGTGTGGCGCTAAGCACTGGACTAAAAGGTCGGGTTGAACTGCATGGTCATTAGTTTAAACTCACCAGTTGCTCCTTGGAAACCTTATACAGAGTCACTATGAGTTGGAACCGACTCAATGGTACTTAACAACAAGCAAAGATCAGGAGGAAAAGCATGTAGGGCAAACGGAACATGCAAAAAACCTAATGAATACCTTTCACCATAAAGGAACGCGAGAAGCCAGGAGCACTGGGAACAGACGGGTATGCACTGGGAACAGACGGGGATGGGGGGAATGTTTGGGATACATTTAGCAATGGAGTTAGGAGTCAGATCCTACTTGGCAGCATGCTGAAAGTTACAAGGAGCAGAGTCCTAGTGTGGCGCTGTAAGATAAGCATTGGACTGCTGGTGGGTTGGAAACCCTGTACACAACCCCTATGAGTCAGCACTTAGCAACAACACAACCAACTAGATTCAAGTTACTAAAAGTTCTTTCTAATTTCTATATGGAAAAAAAGGCTATGAAGAAAGGTGTAAGAGTAAGAGATAGGAAACCTCTGGCAACACTCCATGAGGAAATCCAACATTTGTTTATTAATAGATCAAGATCAATTTTTGCATTAGATTATTTATAATCCTCCGCAGTTGTTGGTAAATGCTGTGGAATGAGTTCATAATAGCAACTCTGTACAGGGTTTCCAAGGCTTTAAATAAGCTTCATCTTTCTCTGATGGATCATCCAAGGATGGCCTCAAACTGCAGTCAGTGCTTTATCATAGTCAACCATAATTATATTTATTAACTAAAGTAAAAAGAAGTTTTAAGGTCAATTTTGCCACTGTAACTAGCATTGACATCATATACAATGTCTATTTGAGACAACAGTGAATGCGCAAATATCAACCATGAAGCTCCTGCTAAGAGATGGAGTCACAATCTGTTATGGCTGCAAGGAGACAGAATGGTATGCATTTTGTTTTGTTTTGCTCTTTAATCTTAAGAACGTACTTAAGACATACAGTAGGATTTTTAAAACCATAATCTCAGGAGGATGGGGATGCAGAATGTGTAAAGATCATCAGAGATTACAAATTGGGCTGCTAACTGCCTTCTCAGAGGGAGAAAACGAGATAAAGCTTTATAGCGCCGGAAACCCTATACCGCATCACTAAGAGTCAGAACTGGCTCCACAACACACAACCACCGCCATCACACAATGTATGGCTATTTAACTTCAAAAACAACTGCCACTTTTGCCATGAGACCAGAAGACTGGATGAGTCCCTGTTACCATTACTGAACATTTTTTCAACCGAAGATTCTATAGCAGAATCCTGAACAAAAGGGGAGAAGGGATGCAGGACAGAATTTCAAATTCTCACGGACTCTAGATTTTCTGGAGCCATAGAGGAGGATGAACCCCTGAAACTATTGCCCTGATACTCCTGAAAACCTACACCAAAAAAGATCCCCTTCTTAGAACAATAGTCTGGTGATGGCGGTGGTTATGGGCCGTGGAGTCAGAACCGATTCACAGTGACCCTGTACAGGGTTTCCAAGGCTGTAAATCTTTATGGGAACAGAAAGCCTCATCTTTCTCCCATGGAACAGCTGGTAGTTTCAAACTGCTTACCTTAAGGTTCGCAGCCTGATTCCTAACCACTACGCTACCAGAGGTTGGCCTTGTCCATTATGCTCCTTCAAGTACTCTACAATGGGAGTCCGGAGTCCTGGTGTGGCCCTGAGGGTTAATGCACTGGACTTCAAGGTCACCAGTCACTCCTCAAAAACCCCACATAATAGGGTTGCTCTGGGTCAGAACCAACTCGACAGCACTTAGCAACAACAACATATGGGAGTCCTGGTGAGGCGCTGTAGGGTAAGCACTGAACTGCAAAGTCGGTTTCCAAGGCAAGGTCAGTGGTTCAAATCCACAGTCACTCCTTGGAAATCCAATACAGGTTCGCTATGAGGAACCCACTGAATGGCAAGTAACAACATACAGGAACAAACTGAGAACAGCAACTGAAAGATAAAATAGGAACATTAGGGGGCATTATGTTTATGATAACGATGCAGCAACAAGTCAGAAAAGACTGAGAATGGCTGCACAACGTGACAAATGCAAGCAATAACAGCAACTGTGAACGTGTAGAATTGGTATTATGCCTTGCAAAAAAATCAAATTTAGGGGGAAACATTAACAAGAGGGGGGATGTCTACCCTTTGGATACAGTTAACATTTCTAAAGTTATTTTTCACCCCGCTTTAGTAAGCGAGCGCAAAACCATCTCTACAATGAATACATAAGCAGCATGGATACCATCAAACTACGAACTTCGGATTTCCCATAGAATCCTAGATCAGGGGCCAGCAAACTACAGCTTAAAAGTCAAATACAGCTCACTGATAACCTTAGTTCAGCGAGCTAAGAATGGACATGTGCCGCAAAATCAAAAACACATAACATAACCTACTAATGAGTGTGGCGCTGTGGGTTAATGCGCTGGACTGCCAAGTCGGTGCGAACTGCAAGGTTAGTGGTTCAAGCTCACCAGCCGCTCCTTGGAAACACTATATCGAGTCTCTATGGGTCGGAACCGACTCGCTGGCACTTAACAACAGCAACGAGTTCGGTTACGAGTCGGGCTGCTAACCTCTAGGTCAGCAGTACGAAACTACCAGCCGTTCCGCGGTACAAAGTCGGAACGACTCCACCGCACACCACCACCACGATTTAATTAGCGATAAAGGCTAGACAAAAGACCAACAGCAACAGTGAACACAGAATGTTTCACCAAATTCCCACAGCTCACGAAACTCTCCCCTGACTATTGATCACATCCAGAGGATAATTCCGACCTGAAAGGGATCAACAACAATCACCTGGAGAGAAGGCTTCCGATGATGAGGACCAGGAAAGAGGCCCGAGCTGGGAAGGAAAGGTACGCAGCGGAAGCTTCTGCCTCTAACACTTTAGCGCGAAGAGCGCGCGCGCGCGCGAAGGGACGCGGAGGGGCTCGCCGCACGGACTCAGGCCAACTCCTCACCTCGAGATTCAGGTGCTGCGGCATCTCCCCATACTCCGGCAGCGACGATTCTGACCGTGCGAGAGCTACGACCTCGCCGCCAGGCTGTTTGATTTGTTGGTCCCCCATGCCGGGTGTCACGTAAAAATAACAGCTGCAGGAGACAGACACGCACACTCAATTACCCAAGCCAGAAAGCCTCGCCTTTCTCTGCTGAAAATTGACCGGGCTTGTGTTCCCGCGGCGGCGGACACACAAACTCAGGCGGACACCTCCCACTTCCGGGAGCGTATGGCGTCAACACGCTGCGCGGGTGCGGTATCCCCGCCGCGCGCGCGTCGTCTGGGGAGGGGAAGGGAGGAAGGAAGGTAATGGAGACGTACGGGGAGTGAAGAGCACTCAGTGGTCTTAATGTGCTTAGGTACAGCCAGTTTCTTGGCGCATTTGAATTACTAAAGGCTCTCGTCATCAGAGAACACCACGGAAATTGATAATAACATCAACATTTCCTGAGAAGAAAAACGAGGATTACTATGGAGAAGTAATTTTTAACCATAGCAAATAACATGAAACAATGTATTGTTGTTGTTGTTGTTAAGTGCCGTCGAGTCGGTTCCGACCCATAGCGACCCTGTACAGGGTTTCCGAGGGTGTAAAATATCTCCCATAAAGACTTCCACTTCTGGGTGAGAAGAGGGAACGGGTCTAGACTTCGTGCTTATCATAACTATAAACAATTAGAAAACTGAACAAAATATATGAAGCAATTTTTTGAGAGAAGAGAAACATGAAGAAACCCAGAATCACCCTGACTTTCTGCCTGGAGATAATTTCTAGACCGTGGTGCAGTTGAGTGAACAATTTAACTGAGTTGGAAAGAATTGCATGGGTAAAGAAAGACATGCAGAAAACTGCAAGTGAAAAGAGATTAGTTAAGTATATGTGTCATGTGAACATCTACAAGATCAGGAAAGAACAATTACTGGGGAGTGATAAGTCAAAATAATTTTTAGGTCAACCAGAAACAGAAATTATTTGAGTTTCCACTATCTAGATTGGAGCAAATTATCATTGAATGTATGGAACATTCGATAGAGATTCCAGAACTGTAGTGGATTAAACCCGTTCTAGTAAAGGAGTCCAAG